GCTTTTTACAATACATATTGTTTTCAAAGCAGCTTTACAGAAAGTGCATTTCAAAAAATGTACATGGAAAAATACATTTAGTTAATCATGTAATAATTTTAGTGCATAACATATCGCCGGTGTTGAGTCGTCACTTCGCAGGTGTTGGGGCATCTGAAGTCTCCGTGAGAGGCTGGATAGAAACTGGAGCTGACGAACGCCATTTTTCCTCAGCAGAAAAGCAAATGGGAAATAATTAGCATAGCTGCTGTTCATAATGATTTCCATTACACGAGAGTAGATGTTAAAAACTTGAAGACAGTGGATCTGGCGTCCCAGACTCACCCCTCTATTGTGTGTACATTTAATGTTTTTATATTCTACTTGTACATTTGACAATACCTGCATGTAATTACAGCTGTAATTTATTTCTATAATTACACTGTTCACCCTTCTTTTTACACCTCAACTCACCCTGAAACCCACCCGGCCCCACCTCAATAGCAGCAAATGTGTTTTGCAATACTATATACACAATAATACATTGTACCTAACATTTTTTTTATTTTTTTTATCCAAGTGGTAGTTACAGACACCTAATATAAAGTGCGACCAAGTTTTATAAAACCATGTGAAACTAACATTTCAAAGAGCTTTTTTACACCGTAAAGATCAATTGACATAAAAAAGAGTGAGGAAACCATTGCCTTAGAATTAAGAAAATACAATTGATGCGTAATTGAAAAAATGAAGTTATGTGGAAATGTGGAATACACATAATTTAATTTGATCAATGACACATTAAGTTTATTTACTTAATAAATTTAAGGTAATGGGTTTCCTCTTTTATTTTTTATTATTAAATGAAGTCAATTGAACTCTTTTTACAGTGTTAAGACACTCTTAATGGTCATTGGACCAGATACAGAAAAATGACTTCACACTCAAACTGCAACATTTGACAGCCCACTCAACTGTTCCTCCTTTTCCTCTTGTGCAGGTACGAATCCATCGTCATGGGTAACGGCTTAGCCAATCAGGTGTCTAATCCTGATGTGGAAGTTGACATCACCAAACCAGACATGGTGATTCGGCGGCAAATAGCAGTGCTGAAGGAAATGACCAGCTGGCTTAAAGCTGCTTACACGGGCACTGACATCTCATTTGTCAATGGTACGAGGCATCGGCTTCTGCACGTTACTTCATTTGAGCCACAATGGCTGTGGTTAATTTATATCATGCCATCATCCAAGCCTCGCTTTTTACGTTTATCTGTCTTTCAGAGGATGCCGGCAGCGGAGAGGAAAGCGGAAGTGGCTGCGACTCGCCCTCTTGTGACGGTGACAACGACATCTACTTCTCCACCCCAGTGCCCGTTAAACCTGGCATCAAGCTTAATGCTGGAACCCAGCCCAGCCCTCTAGCGGTACACGGTTGGCACCCTGCAGTCTGGCACTGGCAGTGGCAGCGCTCCTGCTCGCCCTACTCACCCTTCACACGAGATAAGACCAGCTGAGCAGAGGATGTGTGTTTGTACGAATTTGAACAAGAGAGCAGAAAACTGCCATAGGACTTTAAAGACACTGCTTTCAGGATCTCCGTCTGCCTGCCATCGGGGGAAGACGCTCAAGTTATTAATATTCAAATAACTTCCCTTCAGTGTATTTTTTTTTGTGTGTGTGTGGTGTGTTCATAAGAACGGACTTCATAGGTTTCCACTCAGCATTTCACGTCAGCTGGGTTTTATTCCTCCATGTCTGTAAAGTCCAGAATCGTCAACCCGGTTATGGTTAAATAAGTGCCGTGTTTGTTTTGAAAGTAGGTCAGACTGAGTGTGTGTTTGGGTTGGATGGTGTGTACGATTGGCTGTATACATCATCCAAGTGCTTTCTCTAAAGCTAAACAATTAATCAACCCTTATAACACACGTGTGATTTAAGCAAGTCTGTATGAAGTGCTCATTAGACTGACTTTTAAATCATTTTTGAGCGTGTCTTGATGTGCATGGTGGCTTCGGTTAGATGCAGATCATGTATGTTCCCTGAATGTTATTGAGTCGATAAATAATGAATGATGCCTTAAATAGTTTATAAACAAGCCCTTTATTAGGGCTTATTTATAATATATAAAATGCTGCCTTATGAAATCAACAGTACAGTATCCCAGACAAAGCAGTTATTCTGAAACAACTTTCATAGCCCCCATCTCATCATCCAAATACTTCGGTAATAACTTAATATGATGAAGGAGCTTTGGTTAGGTAAGGTCTGTGTGGAAGTTGATTCATTGATGAAAAGGCTTTGATGGTTCCATCAACGATGATGATCATATGTGTTTCCTGCATGATACAGACTTTGTGGCCTGAGTAAAATAGTTTTTTACTCGATGTTTAGTTCTGAACTTACAGCAGGACCAGCTGGAGATGCATGTATGCTGAAGATGGCTTAAGACTGAGCTATGGATGAATTTTACACAGGATTTCAGTGTATTGTTAGGTATAACTATAATATAGGTACTGCGGATTTCACTGGACAGACAGCCGGTGCTGATTTGAGAGGTCGGGTGGCCCTCTCTTTTTTCTTTTTTTGTTTGTAACACAAAATGTCCTTTTTTTCCATTCCCGATTTATATCCATAGAAGTCTGTACGGTATTTTAAAACCATTCCTCATGTAAAGCAATACAGACTGTGTGCGTGTGTGGTACGATCCAACACCAGTTGACAGGTTTTTTTTTTTTTGTTCATTCAGATGTCTGACAAGTGCTTGTTTGTTGGTTTAAAAGAAAGAGGTTTTTTTTTTTTCTCCCCTCGCTCTTGTACAGTAAGTTATTTAACCACGTGTCTCTTTGAAAGGCATTCGCAAGCATCGCTTTTCTAGGTATCTTAATTTCAGTATTCAAAATATTTATGTCTGTAGATGAATGCATTCTAATGATTTCACACTTTGATGGTTTTATATTGGCTTTAAATTTCATAATATCATCATATTTAGATTTTTGTAAACGAGCTACCGTAAGCGTTTGTTTGTCATAGTTTTATGTAAGGGGATTGTGAAAATTGTACAAGCTGATGCAAGGACAGGGCTGGCCATCGGTCCTTGATCATTCCTGATGTCACATGCACTTTTAATTGGCATTCAGATACCTCACGGCAAGAGAGTTTTAAATGATGCTTTTAATTCATATCTGCAGCATGCATATGTGCTTTTCAACTTTTACGTTTGTTTTTATTCATTCATTTGGAGATTCATTCAGTATGTATGGATGAATGGCCAGTCCTCGGACATGAACGGAATCTTGTCAGGGTTTCAGGAGCCTGAAACGAGTAAATATCTCCACAGCAGTAATGTAATGCAACGCACCTCAGATTGGATATGTATTTTTTTTTTTCTAGGCTGATGTGCTCCCACGAATGGGAAGCAATATGTGCTTTCTATACTTCCTTATGACCTAAAGCTTCCCACTGTCACATGTTAAGATGGCTCTGATGTGTAAAGACCAGGAAAGGAAGTGCTTAGTATGACGAGCTACTCCGAGTCGGTGTGAAGATGACATGGACTCTTAAATGAACCTCTGCAATGTCATCTTTAGTTTGAATGCTGAACTTCAGGTGGACAGATTGCAGGGCTTGCAGCCCTGTATATCAATGGAGTCATCTGTGATGATGAGTCAGAGAGACTGAAGAAAGAAAAGGAAAAAAAAATTGTAAATAATGAGCAGTCGTTTTAGTGGTCTCTGAGAGATGTTCATCAGATTTTACCCATTCAGAGTCCGAGCTTAATATGGGCAAAACAAAGAGATAGATGCTAAAAAATGTAAGAGAAAAGTTATATTAAACATTTCTTAGTCTTGTTGAAATAAAGACTGCAGATATTTAAATGTGTTGTGTGTCATTTCGGCTCTTGCCGCCAGTATTATTAGCATTTAGCACTACTGAATTGCATGATTGCTTTGAAAATCTCTTTGAGGGACCCATTCATTAAAACAAAGGATGACTTGAAACAATCATGAACATTGATTAATCAAAACCATTAATTAAGCTGAAGTGTTAAATCGTCCTTTAGTCTTCCTGTGTGTTATTACATTAAACTGTTAAGACTGCTATGAATATAAGGCTGTTAATATCCCTTTTTGCATTAATATAAAAAAATAACCATCCTTTGAGGGTTTTCTTGCAAAAGTACATAAAAGAAGTGATAAAGACCATATCAGACTCAAATCAAAGCAATGTTAGCAAAGATTCATAAGATCCCTTTCAAATGTTATTTGATGAGATGGATTGATGGTCTCGATCATGTTTATTTTATATTGGATGGAAACCTCATCCAGTATTGGACATGAATAACCTTGCATTTATAATCTTTATTATGATGCAGTTATATATATATATATATATATATATATATATATATATAACTGCATCATAAGTTATGCACGTATAACTGCATCATAAAAAAGATTTTAAATGCAAGGTTATCCATGTCCCATACTGGATAAGGATTCCTTCCAATATAAAACACGATCGAGACTATGAATATATATATGAAGAGTTCAGATGCAAAAGCCTCTAAATGCCATTTGAAATTTTCTTCTTTAATGATGATTTTTATCAAACTTGTATATTTAAGTTCAGTAATTTCACTTAAATAACAATTAATAGTAATTATCATTGCCATTTAAGTGAAATTACTGAACTTAAATATACAAGTTAGATAAAAATCATCATTAAAGAAGAAAATTTCAAATGGCATTTAGAGGCTTTTGCATCTGAACTCTTCATATATATATATACACACACACACACACACACACACACTCACCTATTACACCATTCCACCACATCCCAAAGATGCTCTATTGGGTTGAGATCTGGTGACTGTGGGGGTCATTTTAGTACAGTGAACTCATTGTCATGTTCAAGAAACCAATTTGAAATTATTTTTGTGACATGGTGCATTATCCTGCTGGAAGAAGCCATCAGAGGATGGGCACATGGTGGACACAGAGGGATGGACATGGTGAGAAACAATGCTCAGGTCGGCTGTGGCATTTAAACGATGCCCAATTGGCACTAAGGGGCCACCACCAGCAGCCTGCACAGTGGTAACAAAGCATGATGGATCCATGTTCTCATTCTGTTTACGCCAAATTCTGATTCTACCATCTGAAAGTCTCAAGAGAAATCGAGAGTCATCAGACCAGGCAACATTTTTCCAGTCTTCAACTGTCCAATTTTGGTGGGCTCTTGCAAATTGTAGCCTCTTTTTCCTATTTGTAGTGGAGATGAGTGGTACCCAGTGGGGTCTTCTGCTATTGTAGCCCATCCGCCTCAAGGTTGTGCGTGTTGTGGCTTCACAAATGCTTTGCAGCATACCTTGGTTGTAACGAGTGGATATTTCAGTCAAAGTTGCTCTTCTATCAGCTTGAATCACTCGCCCCATTCTCCTCTGACCTCTAGCATCAACCAGGAATTTTCGCCCACAGGACTGCCGCATACTGGATGTTTTTTCCCTTTTCACACCATTCTTTGTAATCCCTAGAAATGGTTGTGCGTGAAAATCCCTGTAACTGAGCAGAGTGTGAAATACTCAGACCGGCCCGTCTGGCACCAACAACCATGCCACACTCAAAAATGCCTAAATCACCTTTCTTTCCCATTTTGACATTCAGTTTGGAGTTCAGGAGATTGTCTTGACCAGGACCACACCTGCCATGATTATTAATAAGAGGTTAATAATGTTATTGTGTATTTAATTAATTAGTTATTACATTAATATATAAGCAGCTTCTTCCCAAAGATTTGTTATAACAGTCAACCACAATTTAACATGATTTATTTAGGAATTTAATGTTGTGTTTTTTGTTGTTGATAGCTAGTTTCTAGTAAAATTGTTTGTTCATCAGAGGAGACATTTTAGCAAATTAAATGTATAGACAACCACTTTTACTGAAAAAGAGAAAAGAGAATTTGCCCCCTACAACCCCCACCCCCAACCAACCGCATCTCTCTCACTCACGAGGACTTTTATTGTGAAGAGAGAAATGCGGGTGCGGAGGGAACGGGGAAGAGCGAGTAAGAAATTGTGGCAGAGGTAAACAGCAGAAGTTATCTGTAGATCTCAAAGCGATATGATATAACGACGGACGGGAAAACCTCGTGGAAACATGTAGACATTAATTACGTTCGACACTAGCAGACAAACATCATCAAAAAGCGCTGGGCATGTTCATGTTTCGATGTGCCGAGGCTCGAGTCGCAGGTTTTGTTCTACATTCCTCCCGGCCGACGCGACGCGGTGGGGAACCGCACAACTGAGTAATGCTTTCACTTTTCCAGCGAGAAAATGGATGAAAAATCCTACTATAGCCGACTCCTCATCGCACTGCTGATGCTCCTGTGTTTCGGCGTTATTGTATTACAATACGTATGTCCTACGTCCGACTGCCAGTTGCTACACCTGGCATCATTGTCCTCGAGACTGGGGAGTCGCGCGCCTGGGGATCGCATCAACGGAGCCGGTGCGGGAGATCCGTACAGCTCAGAAGACGGTGCTTTGGTTCGCTTTGTGCCTCGCTTTAATTTCACCACCAAAGACCTTAATCGCGCTGTTGATTTCAATATCAAGGGGGAAGATGTTATAGTGTTCCTCCACATTCAGAAAACAGGGGGGACCACGTTTGGGCGTCACCTGGTCCGCAACATCCAACTGGAGAGGCCGTGCGAGTGCCATGCGGGCCAGAAGAAGTGTACTTGCTACCGGCCGGGCAAACGGGACACCTGGTTGTTCTCTCGCTTCTCCACCGGCTGGACCTGTGGTCTCCACGCGGACTGGACGGAGCTCACTAACTGCGTGCCTTCTTACATGAGCAACCGTGAGTCTCAGGAGAGGCGTGGAATTCCCAGGTGGGTGTTTCATTGGTTTTTATTAGTGTAATAAACTGATTTTACTGTCTATAATGGACTGAAACGCGTCTTCACAAACAAACTTATTTCTTTTGATATGGTATTCTGTGTTGTATGGTGTCACGGTGTGCTTCTCCACTCCTTTCCCTCATATTGTTCTCGTTCAGTTCGGGCTGAAGCCTCTTAGCAAGTCAATTATGTGGAGACAAAGGGCCTTCAACAGGTCAGACTCAACCCCAGAGTGCTTTTATTCTGCGCATTCCTGCAACAGGGGACCCATCATCATAATCATTCACCCTTTCAGACACCCTGGAGGGCAGACAGCCTGCTGGCACCAGAACATCTGCCATTCTCTCAGGCTTGTCCTTTAAACAAACTCCCTGTATCATGGGGTAAACAGTGTTTGATAATGTTTGCACTGGGAGCCACTGCTTTTGATAAATAAGTTTCGAGTGCCTTAAGCATAGTAGGTTGGTACTGTTTTAAAAGCTACACTACTGTTAAAAAGTTGTTGTTAAAAAAAGAAATGAATACTTTTATTCAGCAAGGACAAATTCAGTTGATCAAAAGTGTTAGTACTAAAGACTGTTGTTACAACATTTCTATTTCAAATAAATTATGTTCTTTTGAACTTTCTATTCACCAAAGAATATTGAAAAATGTATCATGGTTTCCACAAAAATGTTTAGCAGAAAAACTGTTTTCAGAGCAGAACAAATGTTTCTTGAGCACACTGCAGCATATTACAATGATTTCTGAAAGATCATGTGACACCAAAGCCTGGATACTGGTTGTGGTTTTGGTTGATAACTGATGAAAGACAGATATTAAAAATCTATCCTTTATCTAATTAAATTAAAATCCCTAAAAACTACAATTGTTTTACAAGTGAAATTGAGCATCTCAATTTAATAGTGTACAGTGTGGATTTTGAGATCTGCTAAAGATTACATGCAACTATTTATATTATTGGTATTTTTAAATATTAACTTTAAGTCAATGTCAACTTTATATATATATAAGCATTAAACCAAATGTTGACCAAAGTAATGTACAACATAACATTACAAACACCAGCAAGACCAGAAACTATACAAATCCGATATGATTAAAAGTCATTTAAAAGGGAATTACAATAATCAAGCCTTGTCGTTAGATAACTGTCCAAAGGTAATCTAAATGAAACTATTAAATATACAACTATATTGACTGATGTATATAGATATAAATGTCTGAAAGGCCTGTTTTTCAAATGGACATAATTAGATCAAATCATTATACCATGGGCTCATTGTTGGCTTTCTAGAAATGAAAAAGTTGAGGCTCACCATAGACTTTGACTCTGTGTTGTTGCGTAATGGATTTGTCCAGCCAGTCGTAATTGGTATTCGAATGGAAACCGTTCTGGATGTGAGCTGAAAGATGATTCTTCTTATTTGCTCATTATGCTAAAATCCCCATAATTACAGTCAACCAGCAATAATTCATTCCGTTTTCCATCAAGATCGCTCCCCTGACACACTCCAACAGAAACTACTCCATGAATAACGCTGTTACTGTGAACATGCACAAAATATGACAGCTTTACTCCACTTAATGATTCATATGCAATAATACATTTCATGTTGTTTCTTTTTTTATAGTCAACCGAGTGATTGCTTAAGTTTAAACTCATTTGGCCCCATATTTGATAAATTCTTCTCTTGTCTCATGTAGTAGGAACTACTACTACATCACGATCTTGAGGGATCCAGTGTGGCGGTACCTGAGCGAATGGAGGCACGTTCAGCGCGGTGCCACATGGAAGGCCTCTAAACACATCTGTGATGGCCGTTTACCCACCCTGACCGAGCTGCCCAGCTGTTACACTGGTGACGACTGGTCGGGCTGCTCGTTGGAGGAATTCATGGCGTGTCCTTACAACCTGGCCAACAACAGACAGACCCGTATGCTGGCAGACCTCAGCCTGGTGGGCTGCTATAACCTCTCCATCATGAGTGAGAGCCAGCGGTGGGTCATGCTACTGGAAAGTGCCAAACGCAATCTTCGAAACATGGCCTTTTTCGGTCTGACAGAATATCAACGTAAGACTCAGTACCTCTTCGAGCAAACATTCCGTCTGGCCTTCATCGCTCCATTCACACAGCTCAATGGCACCCGCGCTGCGAGCGTAGAGGTGGAGCCAGAGACTCAGCGAAGGATCCGAGAGCTGAACCAGTGGGACGTGGAGCTGTACGAGTATGCGCGGGACCTTTTCCTGCAGCGATTCCAGTACGCCAGACAGCAGGAGCACAGGGAGGCCCGTCAGCGACGCCTGCAGGAGAAACGCAAGCTACGTGCCAAGGTGAAGTCTTGGTGGGGGGTGACTGGGAAAGCTGTTTTTAAACCCACCAAGGAGCCATCGATGACAGAACAATATCCCGCTTTCTCAGAAGAAAATCAAGTGGATGCTGGACAAAAGCTGGAGAGTGAGACTAACTGGTTAGAGGAGGATGACAATGAAACCATGCAGGACTATGTAGAAAATGTGGAGCAGTGGCGGTAGCGGTAGCCAACAGCTATTTGGGAAGGGGGTTGAACTCAATAATGAATTAGAAAATGGTGATTCCATTTTATTACTATGGGCTACCTATAATCCTTTTAGCCCAAATCACTGCTAAATATTAGCACGTACGGGTTTGTTAATTGCGGGTTGCTCTTTTTCTGACACATGAATTTTGTGGAATGCACATCATAATTCCTATATATGTATATATAATGTATAATATCATATATATATTATACATTATTTTTGTTGATTCATAGCTCCAGTTCACTGTCAAGTATCATATTTTAAATTATCGTCTTGCTGCCTGACCTCTCTTGTGAATTCTGAATCCCATACCCACTCTGCCCTTGAGAGAGACTCAAGGTTGCAGGTAGATCATCTCTTCAATTAATGTACTGAAAATCACTATGGGTGAAAAGCAAATACATAGCTTAAAAACTTATCGTTAAAGCCAAAGAATGGAATGAAACGTTTTCTGACCTTGCTGTTCTGAGGAAGAAGCTGGTGGCAGCCCATTTTTATTTTATATACCAGTAATGCAAGATTTCAAAGTATTGCCTTTTTTTTTTTCAAGTGACCTCAACAGTCACAATCCCATGCACATTATGTTGCCTTTTGTTGAAGATGTCCAAGAATTGTCTTTTGGGTTATTTTTTGAAGGTGTTTTATATTAAATGTATTTCTTTCTCATTCCTTTTATTTATATGTTTTCTAATAGGATCACATGATATGGGATGGTTCATGGTACGTGAAAAAAAAACAAAAAACTTTGTCAATTATTGCTCTGCTGGAAAATAACATTTGTGAAAAAAAAAAATATATATATATATATATATATATATATATATAATCAAAATTGCTTCTGTGTAGTTGCACTTGATCTATAAGGGCGAGTCTTTTTTTACAGCAGATGGAGCCAAAGTAAAACCCATTGTTTTAACGGAAGCAGCTTACATGTATAAACAGATTAGATCTGTAGTACATAAAGTGTCCTATATCACAATACACATTTTAAAGTGTATACTGACATCTTTCTGCCTGTAATAATAATTTACTCTTCTTTGAATATTGCGCCTTATATTTCCAGAATACTCATTTTGTTTGGATCATGCACATGCGTATCCATACCATCATTTCAACACTATTCTATTGACCTGCCCCATGAATGTATTTGTTATCCATTATATAAAATAACATTTATTATTAATTGGTTAAACGTTAGGTCATGTGATGTCATCATGGCTGCGTCCACGAGGGGGCGACCCGCTCTAGTATGTACAATAAATCGCCTTTTTCTAGAAGACTTTTTTGGGGGGACTATTTCATGCGAGTTATAAATATTTTTAATCATATTAAGTCCTATTAATTTCTTTATATAAAGTTTCTTAGTTTAAAAAAAATGTTGTGTACCTTTAAACACCCGTTACTCACAAGTAACCGTTGCATTCTTGTCTAAATATAGCTGCTGTACTGTACGAAATCAAATGCATTTAAATCCACTTTTCCTAAAGGCTTTGTGTGAAATATTTCTCATTATAGGTGTCCTCATATCCATGAGGTCGTATGGGAATCCCCCTAAAATGGAGGCAATACATGGGAATGCACGTAGTGCAGTGCACACTTTCGCTCTACTCCTCCCTTCTGCCCTCCCTCGTCTCGTCTTCTGCCTAGCAGCAGCTAGCAAGTTCGCTTCACGCTTCCCCATCGCTAGCTTCGTCGTTCAACTCGAAACACCCGCAGCCGCTGGTCATTTTACGAGGCTTTAAGCTGCAAACTGCGCGATCGAAAGCTCTCGGCTAAACTCGGGAACTTTTGCAACCAAAGCGCGCGCCTCACATCAGCCAGTGATCGTGACGTAGTTATTGACAAATCTTTATTTCGCTTTGCGCTGCATTTGATGTCACCCGAGCTCTAGTCGCGGGCCGTCTGCACAGGTGAGTCATCTGCTTTCATAAAAACTAATATTTCATATTCTGTATCTAGTCTTGCCGCACACGTTATTGCAAATGCAATGGGTTTAATGCATTAACGTTACTCGCTGCCTGTCACGACTGACGCTGACTCGTTTATGGGTCTCCATCTCTAACCTTGCTTTTGCGCACATGGCCTCTTCGCACAGTGACGGATAAAACTAGAATTTTACTTTCTCCTTATTCTTATTAGCCAAGTGTATCATTTGACCTTACCGGAAAAGCTGTCACTTTTATTAAAACGTCCGTAATGCAGTGCAGTGTCGAGCATTGATCATACACTGGCTGACAGCTGTTGAGCTTTCCATCAGTGCTGTGTTAGGCTACTGCGCTGCCCTGAACAGCACCTAGTTTGTAAACTGGTTAGATGGAGCTCAAACTCTGCTCACATGTTGAGCTGCAATAGTCAGGTGCAGTGGGCTGGATGTCTTTTCTGATGCTGTTTGTGTCTGGCATCTCAAACAAGTAACGCTGTCATGCTTGACATTTAAATTTTTCATGGCCAGAGCTGGATGTGTTCCCAACCATAAGGTGTTCACCCACGGTTGGAGCTGAATTTGTCCTTGATATCCTGGAACATGTAAAAAGTGGGATTGGAACTTGTGTGGGTGGTTTTGTATATTGGTGTGGTTGAAGTTAAATGTCCTTTGACCCGCTTACCCTTAACATCATCGGACATTTGCCAGCACAGACAACTGGCCAAAGCCGAATGCTTTAGTTTATTTTGTTCTCCAGGCTTGAATGTATCTGCATTCCTTATACAGCACATTGCTGAGTCTGGTGACCTTTATTTTGCACGGTCAAGCCTGTTTATCGTAACGGTTTAGTATCCCATAGTCCCTCGCGAAATTAATTACTTATTAAAAATCATGGACATTTCTTCAATATCTACAATGTGTTAGCACCCAGATAGATGTATAACACTTTGTAATAAGGTTGTAAATGTTGACATTAGCCTATGTAGTAGTTAACATGAAAGTTTTGCAATTTTACATTCATGATTTTCCTATACTGATTTATTTTTTAACATTAAGTTGTAATGATTAACATTAATGTATTGTAAATTTGCATATAACATGAACTTGGATAAAATAAATGCTAAAAAATCCATTTTAGTTCATTAAATGATACAATGCATTAATAAATATAAAGCAATTGAATGTTATTGTAAAATATTATCATTTATCATAGTTTTTATTTATAAATATTTCACTGGCTAGATATAGTCCTTTGTACATTTCACAGTTGTGCCATATTCAAATTCCAAGAAGCTTTGGTACTAGATATTTGTAGATTAAGAAGTATAGCGATGACATGTTCCATGGATTACAATCGGACATTGAAAATTGACTGTTTTATTGACCTGTACACACATAAAAACAGCAGGGCTGGGGAGGTCTGGACAACCGTGTTCCTGAAACTGCCAGCTGTTGCACTGTGTTTAGAACTTGCTTCATATTATAAATGTAAAAATCTACCGTTTTATCTCATTTGCTTATAGGCCACAGATTTTGTGTGAAGAATATCAAATAATACACGCATGACAATACAGTTGCTTTATAGAGCGCGCCTGCAGTCGTGTGAGTGGCAGTTGATATTCTGTTTGATTTCACACCCTGTGATGTGCACTGTCAAAGGTCAGGTCAGAGGACTCCTGCTGCTTTAGAGTTCTGGTGTCTGTCAGACTTCAGTGGCATCGCTGCCCTTTAGTTATGTCTGAGGTTTAAAGGTCTATACGTCGCTGACAAGTCATATATTTTTGTGTTAATACCAGGCCAATACACAGCACCTACCCTCCTTCTCCCTGAGGGGTCTGTTGATCCTGCACTTCCTGGTTTAAATTAGAGCTAGACCCACATACGCCATACACAGACTCAGAACGCTGTCTGATGACAAGCTCCATTAATTCCCAGTGGTCACAATTGGTCAGGTAGCCATAGACAAGAGAAAACGAGAGCTAAATCCTTCTCAGAGGCGTAGGGTTAAATCAGGTGAGATGCCAGTAACCCTCCTTATGGTTTTTACCTCGTAGGGAAAAGATAGGGAAATAATATTAGGAAGCCCCCTGATGGGACATATGTGGGTTTGTCCGATGTCATGATTTTAGATTGTGAGCGATTAAAATGTCTCTACGATTTGCTTTTGAAGAAATATCGTACTGTACAGTGCACATTCAGACAGTTGTTGTTCTGGCGAGGCACCCTCCTGCCAACATACTGTTCACATACATTCACATCACATGATTAGCAACACAGTGGTTGGGTTACGCTCACCGCTCATGTGCGGCTACACCCTGTGCGGTTTTACATTAATTAGTCAGTTAGGTCTTAAAGGGTTAGTTCACCCAAAAATGAAAAATTCTGTCATTAATTACACTCTCAAATCGGTCTAAACCTCTTTGGAATCTTTGGAGCGCAAATGAAGATGTTTTTGATGAAATCTGAGAGCTTGTCAATGTCCCTCCATTGACTGTCTATGCAACTACCATTTTTATGCTTCAAAATGGTCATAAAGAGATCGTAAAATTGAACGGTTTGGTCCAAAATTTCTGAAGAGATTCGATCCCTTTATATGATAAACAAATTGAATTTAGACTTTGTGTAGTGTAGCATAGACTGTTTCATTTGTGTTTCGAAAATGTGACTGATCATTTGTGTTTCGAAAATGTGACTGATCACTTGTGTTCCGAAAATGTGACTGATCATTTGTGTTCCGAAAATGTGACTGATCACTTGTGTTCCGAAAATGTGACTGATCATTTGTGTTCCGAAAATGTGACTGATCATTTGTGTTCCGAAAATGTGACTGATCACTTGTGTTCCGAAAATGTGACTGATCACTTGTGTTCCGAAAATGTGACTGATCATCACTTGTGTTCCGAAAATGTGACTGATCATTTGTTTTCCGAAAATGTGTCTGATCATTTGTGTTCCGTGTTCCGAAAATGTGACTGATCATTTGTGTTCCGAAAATGTGACTGATCATTTGTGTTCCAAAAATGTAACTGATCATTTGTGTTCCCTGTTCCGAAAATGTGACTGATCATTTGTGTTCCAAAAATGAACACCCTTACTGGTTTGGAAATACATGAGGGTGAGCAATTAATGGCAGAATTTACCTTTTTGGGTAACCAATCCCTTTAAGTGAACATAAACATTTGGGAGAAAAACGGATGTGTGTCTGTATATTTGATCCACGCATGGGGTCTTAAAGTGACAGCGGTCTAATATAGTTGCCTCCATTTATCTTTAATGTTAATAAAAAAATCTCTTATTGCTTTAAGTATATTATATTTGTCTTAATTTGCTTCTTTGTTCTTATTTTTATTAACAAAGATTAAAAAAAAAATCAAATTGGCTAATTAGTTTTGCTTTGCTGCTCACTGACATAATAAAACCAATGTAAGAAAATCAAATACATGATCTTTCTGAAAAAAAATCATATGCTATGATATTCTTGCCATATCGCCCACCCCTACTTGACGGTCCCACGTGCTCTCTCGCTCTCAGTCTATTAAACACGGTCCATGTTAGCACCTCATATCCGCATATTGCCGCATGTGCTGAAACTGCACCACAGGTTCAGGCACGTTTGCCAATGATGCCGTGGACTTTGCTCTCGCTTTCATTCTCCCTATAAAATTAATGATAAGAACAGAGAGTAGTGTTACTCTGCTGCATGTCCTCATGTCCCCTCTCCGGCTTTGCTGGACCAAACATGGTAGTTTATGCCATCTGCTTTGAAATGGCAATAAAACGTGGGCCTGGGCTGATAAAGCAACACATGATCAAACATTGAGTGACTGTAATATTGATTGAGCCTGATTGCTGTAAATATCGGTTCTCTATCTACGGAATCTATAAGAACTAGACTATTGCATTCTATTAATACGGCCACTGCCCTCTTTTCGCAAGTAGGTTATGACATGCTCAGATTGTGTTACTCACAAATGAGCTTTTAACCACTATTCTGTAAAGTGCAATGCACCATTTGTCCAACTAAATATAATTTGGGTGCATTTACACAAACGCAAATGAGGCTTTGGCAAGTCTGCGCTTGATTTAAAATAGTTGACCAGCTTTTGAACATTTTATGATGTTTATAAGTGCATAAAATGATGTATTTGATCCTGCACTCGCTCCTTATAGTGGTTTCGTTTCTCCAGTTTGTTGTTTCAACATTACACTGAGCTGGGCAGAGGGGAAGAGGCTCAGCCTGTTGTAATGTGTCATGTTGCTTTAAGCCTATGATTTTAGAGTTTGTTTGTGCTCTCCAGAGCGCTGTACGTGTCTCTGTGCTTGCTGTGAGTTTTTGAGGGAGCTCAGGCAGCTGCATGTTTTTATGAATGGAGGCAGTGGGGCTGTAATAGGCTGAAAGGATTATATATACTTAACCTAATTATTTTTCCCAGTGGCTGGGGGCTTTTCTCCTCTTCCAGTCCCGTCTCACAAGCTCTTGATTGTCAAGACACCATGTCAGAACCAGTATGTCTCCACCTACGGTGTCAGAACTGTCCATTTCTGTGTTTTTTTAGTGAATGCTGCAGTTCTGGCTCTGAGGAACTATGTGTCCATGTATTTTTGCATTGCTTCCTTTCATTAAGGGAAGTACGCACATGGCTTAATATCGGTTACATTTGGGTCGTATACTTCTGCATCAGATTCTCTGCTCTGATCAGCCTTGTCCTTTAAATGTCATTCAGACAGTTTGTTCCCTGTAATGGCCAGGACAGTGTGTCTATTCATACGATTCAATCATTTAAAGAAGTATGCAGCCGTCTTACACTGATTGAAACTCATCTTAAAGGGATATTTCACACTAAAATGAAAATGTAGTCATTGGACAAATTGGAATGTACGACAAGTGATCTTTTTGCCTCTTTTTTGCCTCATTTTATAGAACTTTTTAAATTATTTTATTTTAGGGTGAACTCATGCACCCTTCAAACGAAGGAACACAAAAAG